AAAGAAAGAAAGAAAGAAAGAAAGAAAGAAAGAAAGAAAGAAAGAAAGAAAGAAAGAAAGAAAGGAAGAAAAGACAGCTGAAGAGCCAAAGGGAACAGGGACAAGAAAACTGCAAAGTAATTATTTTAGAGATTTTTGTTTAGGCTTGAAAAAATGGCGTTCAGCATGCTGCTACTGACATATGGTTCACTCTATGACCCTCAAAAGCAAACAGTATGAATAACCCAAAGCTTGCCAGAATCCAAGACTTTTATATTAAAGTCATTCTGAAAAAAGTATCTTTTAATAAAGAATAACAAAGATTATTATAAAAATTAGAAAAAGAAAATATGCAACTTACAATATTTGAAAAACTGAGGTCAAGCTTCCATATGGCTCCATTGGAATCCTAAAAAATTAAATACCTAATAACATTTTGTCTTATCACTTTGAAGTTTTACCAAATTAAAATAATTTTCTTCCTATGATTTAAAGTAAGGACAAACAATAATACTAAAAACATACACACACACACACAACACACACACACTAGAGGCCCAGTGCATGAAATTCATGTGCAGGTACAGTGCCTAGACCTGGCCTGTGATCACGGCTATCTTCCCCAGCTGCCCACAGCTGGCCCTGCTCCCCGTGGCCACTCACTCCTGGTTCCCTGTTCACTTTCAGGTGATCGGTGCCTGACGGCCGGGAGAAGGGACCGAGAGGTCGGTTGTTCCCACCTGCTCGCTGGCTCCGCCCCCACCAAGGGTGGCCATCAGGTTATTAGAGCCTGCCGGGGGGTGGGGGGGAGGGAGGGGAAGGGAAGAGACCAAGAAGTGGTCAGTGTGCCTCATAGTGACTGGTCCAGAGGTCGTTCTGGTCATTCTGCTGTTAGGGTCAATTTGCATATTACCCATTTATTATATAGGATGTTTAAGTGTGCCTAAAATGTAACTAAATCAACTTCTATATATCTTAGAACACAACCACACTGTAAACACAGCAATCTCATTATACTTGTAGTTAGTTTAACATAATACAAATGCTCCTAACAGGTTTTCTGTGTATAAAATATATGTCAATTAAAATACCAAATTCAGGAACTCTTCATTCAGGTATCAGTAGTAGTCTTAATAGTAAAATGGACTTATAATGACAATAAATTATAATACCATTTTAAGTTTATGTCCAGGTAGTTTAGAAAGAGCCAAGAGGGAAGAATGCAATTTACCTGAGCCAACCAAAAGTTATTTCCAGCTTCGTTCATTTTTATCATGGAGAAGAGTTTAACATTCTTGTCCACTTGAAGTTCATTGATGGGCTCAATCTCTAGCAATCCAGTCTCGTCTACAATATCAGCAGTGTCTATGGTCTCAAAATCCCATATCTCATAAAATTAATAAGAAAATACTTTAGTCATACAGCAGTTTCTGAATTTGTTTTCTAAGCCAGAAAATAAATACCAAGACATTTCTTTGTATTTATAGAGATTTTTGAGAAAATACAACTCTGATTAAGAATTCCAATTTTCACCCTGACCAGTTTGGCTCAGTGGATAGAGCATCGGCCTGCAGACTGAAGGGTCCCAGGTTCGATTCTGGTCAAGGGCATGGACCTTGGTTGCGGGCATATCCCCAGTGGGGGGTGTGCAGGAGGCAGCTGATCAATGTTTCTCTCTCATCGATGTTCCTAACTCTCTATCCCTCTCCCTTCCTCTCTGTAAAAAATCAATAAAATATATTTTTTTAAAAAAGAATTCCAATTTTCCCAAAGTAATCTGTATTTCAAGGTTTCAGACAGGTCTTTCTGCACATGGAGCGGCTATCAGGAATAAATGGTTCACTTGTTCAGCAAGACATCTAAGCCCTGTTTTATACACATACACTAGTAGGCCCCTGGAAAGGGGAAATGGAACTTCTTGCTTAATAATTCAAACACCATCTTCATTATAAGCAGAGAAAAATGAATGTAGATGATGTGTTCATTAGAAAATATTCCTCTTCCTTATCATAGATTTAAACTGTACTATCCAGATAAGGATTGTTGTTCTTGGGATAGGAGACCAGAAAGCTACAGGAAGGATAAGGGCGCACGGTCACCTCATGTAGCAGAGAGACTCGGAAAGACTTCCTCTGTGAAGTGCCAAGCCCAGTCTGGATGGTTCTGTTGACACACCCTGCCATGTCCTGGCCTCAATAACTCAGACTCTGGGAAGATTGGTGCTGTCCCATAGATTAGCCTTGTGGTGGGAGGCCCAGGTCCTAGAGCCAGACTAACGCCTGGGAGTGGGGTCAATTTTTCCTAATGGGAATGAGGAGATGAGGGTGGACTTTGAAAAGAGAAGCAACCTTAAAAATTAACAGTGTCCATGAAGGGATCCTCTGTGAAATACTCAACTTTTCTCTTGAGGATTTCTTCCATTTGGTACCTTGACATTTTTGGGTGACACATCTTGGAAACAGTGAATATATTGTATGACATAATAATAAGGACATAAACTATCTCTCAGGGTAATGAGTAAAATCTTACAAGATTAAATTTAATATGGTAAATGTAAAAAATTTATTCTTGGGTTCAAAAAGCCAATGGTAAGAGGCAGAGGATATGGCATAAACAGTACATTAGACATAGTACGCTCTCTAGGTGTCAACAATGACCAGACTATTTAGAAAGCAGTCTTATTTCTGGTAATCATACATCCTAAAGAATATCCAGAGAACACTACCACTTCCTTATGAAAGGCCTGGGAAGGAATCTGTACCAAGGGGACCACAAAACAAATCATGAGGCTCCAAATTTGTCAGCAGTAGCAGGGTACACACACAGCGGTGTGACCACAACCAGGAGGAGCAACCTTCCAGCTTAGCCCACACTATGGACAGGAGAGTGTCCAGAGGTGAGTTCACTAGTGTCAGGTGCAAGGAGGAGGGTGCATCCATAGCCAAACCCTCTCATCTCACTTTTGAGTATACTCCTGATTAGTAACTCAGGAAAAAATAACCAACAAGCCTTGGCTGGGTGGCTTAATTGATTGGGGCATCATCTTGTACACCAAGAGGTTGTGGGTTCAATTCCAGGTCTAGGTACATAGCTAGGTTCCAGCTTCGATCCTTGGTCAGGGCACAGAGGAGGCAACCAATTGATGTCTCTCTCTCTCTCTCTCTCTCTCTCTCTCTCCCTCCCTCCCTCCCTCCCTCCCTTCCTCCCTTCCTCTGGCTCTAAAAAAAAATCAATAAAATCATATCCTCGGGTCAAGATTTTAAAAAAAGAAAAAACAACAACAAATGTTTGGCTCTTTTGTCCCTAGAAAATGACCTGTTCATAGCGGGCATTTTAGAAGAACATCTGTGTCCACTGTTTACGCTGTGATAACATGGGCTTTCATTTTCTGAGCATACTATTTCAACAACAAAATCAACATAACAAAAGATCCCTTCAGAAAATTTCAGAGCTCAGATGCTGTAAATTAATTTTGACTAGAATTCAAATATTTACCATAAGAAGAGTATTCTTTTTTTAAAAAATATTTTATTGATTTTTTACAGAGAGGAAGGGAGAGGGATAGAGAGTTAGAAACATCGATGAGAAAGAAACATCAATCAGCTGCCTCCTGCACATCTCCTACTGGGGATGTGCCTGCAACCAAGGTACATGCCCTTGACTGGAATCGAACCTGGGACCTTTCAGTCCGCAGGCCGACGCTCTATCCACTGAGCCAAACCGGTTAGGGCAAGAAGAGCATTCTTTAAAATGAGTTGGCCCTGGGAGTAAATGGCCACTAATTTTCTTCATAAAGTGACCTTTGAGAGAAATAATGAATAGAACCAACTGGGTGATCTGCAAGGCTTAGATGTGGATGCTACTGTCCAAGAATCAAGAAAACTTACCCTAACCCATCCATCTGACCCAATGGTGATAACTTCCCCTTCGTCCAGCATTATCTGATTGATGGGGCCCTGGTGACAAAGTTTACTTCCAGTTCGAGTGAGCTCGACTTTGATGAGGCCAGCTTCCCAAACCAGCATGTTGCCCCATTCTGACCCAGAGAGCACCTGACAGGTGTGCACAAAGGAAGGAATGTGCATTAAGACAGACAAATGTGTATATTTATGACTCAAATAGCAGGAAAAAAAGGATTTTTAAAAGATTATTTTTCTTGATTATGGAAGTAAAATTTTTTAAGATGGAAAAAATAAGAAAATATAGAAATGAAAATGCACTGCCCCAAGAAGAACCACTAATCCATTTTTATGTATTTCCTCTGAGGGTTATGCATCATTTTCATTATTGTGACTAGGTTGTATGCTGCTGGTATTTTTTCCAAACATATCTTTTATATATTTCTTTGTACATGTCTTAAGGACATAATCCAGGAATGGGATTACTGGCTCAAAAATTAGAGGCATGTTTAAAGTACTTGACAGATGAGATTCTACTTTTTAAGTATGATAATATCAACTATTATAAGATATTTGATAATTTGTGAGGGCATTACTCAACTCAGAAGATTATATCATTAACAGTATCCAATTTCAAAGGATAGTCATCTGGAACCACCTCATGCTAATCCATTTAATCCAGCACTTCCCAAAGTACATACCACCAAACGGTAGTTCTTAGGACATTTAACAGGTGTTACCTAAAAGGTAATATTAATGGAGACCTTACATACATAAAGTTATGTAACTGTAACAACCATATGAACCAGGTACATTTATTGGGGATAATATGTACAGCTGTGCAAGTTGGGACTTTATTTCTCCAGGTGAGACAGTTTTTCTTTTCACACAAAACCATATGGGCCAGGGAAAGCCCTGACTATTATTATCTCCATTTTACAAAGGAAAAAAAAATTAAAGAACAGGACAGTTAACAAACTTGCCCAAAATTACTCAGAGGAGTCCAGATTCTAAACCAAGCACTGTGGCTCGAAAGCTCCTGCTCCAACTACCCAGCCTAAGGAGAAAGATGCTGGATTAAACAAAGACAAACACGTTTCTCTTCTCTAGGACTCCTTGGATGCTCTAACACAAAAGTGTTCACTGGGAATCAGCAAGAAGAATTTTAGTTATAAAGGAATTTGAAGAGGAAGTCTTCTTTTCATAGAGCTGCTGTGCAGACGAATGCTCCATGGAATGCTCTTTGGGAAACTGACCTAATTCTTGCCAGCCTGCTCTAGGATTCTGCATCCCCACTTCCCTCTCACCCAGAGTAGCTTATGACCTCACTCAGTCTTTTCTACCTATTTGTCCACCTATTCTTATCTATTTTACCTATTAAGCTTCAGCCCATTTTTGGTAGAGTCTTCATTTACACTTGGTTTCTTCTGTCAAGTGACCAAAGCCACGAAAGTTCACCAAAGCTTATATGGCATTCCTTTCTGAAATGTCATTCATGTCTAGCTTTCCTGTTCCATTTGTCTTCAGGAAAGTCCAGGCCCTGATCACCCCTGCTTAGAGGAAAACAACATCTTCTTTCCTAGCTCACCTCTTTGACTCCAGATTTCCCTTCCTCTAATTCACCTGGCATTGTGTGGCCAAATGTATCTACAACTTCTTTCATTTGCAAGTCTACTCTTCCAATATATAATAGTTCTGCCTGGCTGTTAAACCCCTCACACACTAGGACCTAACCATGCTTCTCAATCTAATTCCCCACTCTTTCCCAATATGAAATCATTATTCTAATTAGTCTTTTAAATATCTGATATTTATTCTAATGATAAGCATTTCCTTTTGTGGCTCTCTTATTTAAAAAGACTTCTTTTCTCCCCTACATCTACACAATCTCTACTGAACCTTTTAAAGATACATCTCACAACATGTTTTTAACAAGGGTTGTGTTAATCTTTATGTAACTTAATTCTTACAGTATTCAGAATTTGAAGGTGGAATAATTTACAATCATCTTATAGGTCTAGATATACTATTGCCTAGCCAGCATCCAATGCTTTCTATTTCCTCCTACACGCCATGATTTCAAATTAAGAACATCCCATCCCATTAGGTAGAGGACTAGACCATTTTGTTTCTTAGAGTAATATGTGTATATTGGCATTTACTTATAATTGAAATGATCACACAAAAAATAATCCTAATAGGAAAACAAATACAATATTAATGGAGCACTAATTCTATGTGTAATATGCCTATACGCTTTGTAGAGGAAGAGAGGGAGTAATCTCACAATATTTTAAAACAAACTAACAGATTAAAGCTGCAGTGTTGCAGATGTTACTATAAAGTTGCTCAATCTTGAATAATAATCTGACAATAAAAATAAAAGCCACAGATGCAAGAGAAAAGTGTCCTTGCCCTTTCTGTCTGTCTGATTGTGGCAGACAAGATTGAATGGGGGAATACAGGAGGAAAAAATAAATAAATAAATAAATAAATAAAATAAAAAATAAAAGCCACAAGACAGTATATAACCTTTGACCTAGTAAATCCTCTTGAAGCATCATGGAAAAGAAGAGAAGGGCAAGATAAACATTATAAACACTGCAACTCCATGACAAGTAAAAGTGACAAGGATATCATTATATTAATTGAGGAAAATGTCTGCATATTGTGTATAATATTTATTAAAAACAAAATAGCAAGCCCTAGCCTGTTTGTTTCAGTGAATAGAGTGTCGGCCTGTGGACGGAAGGGTCCCGGGTTCAATCTGGTCAAGAGCCCGTACCTCGGTTGCAGGTTCCTCCCCGGTCAGGGCCCAGGCCGAGTGCAGGAGGCAACCAATCGATGTGTTTCTCTCACATTGATTTTTCTCTCTCTCTCTTCCACTCTCTCTAAAAATCAATGGGAAAATATCCTTGGGTGAGGTTTAAGAAAAACAAAACAGCAAGTGATAGGTGCAGTGGGTTATGACAATTTCATGGAAATATATTAATTAAAGTGATCATCTGAAGAGGCAGAATTAAATGTTCACTATATTCACAATTACAGTATCTGTTATTGCTAATAAAGGCAGTGCTTTTTAGAATGTATAATGTGCCTTATTGTGCATGTCACTTGAAGACATAGTTTTATCATTGTACTCACCTTCCCATCTGGGAGCTCCATGTAGCCTTCTATATCAGTAGTGGCTGTTTTGCCAAATCGACCTAGGAAGCCCTGAAGCTTGAGACCAGTGAATGTTTGAGCCATTTCCCAGAATCTGCAGACAAGAGAGAGACTGAATGTACCTACCTCAATGTATTTATATACTCCATAGTCACATATATTATTGCCTTTATTCATTCATCTGATTAATATGCCAAAAGGGCTTATCCATCATACATTATTGCTTCGAACAACAAATTTAATAGGCAATGTGAAAGTTCAATATGAATTTGGAAATTCTATGCCAACTTTAGGCAGACAATGTACAAACTGTTTTGGTAGGTAAAGCCTGTAAGACAACAGCAGGCTAACTTTAAAAGCCCTTTATTTTTGTCGGTGCTGTCTGCAGTAATAAATCCCCATATTGAATTAGTTAACTTTAAAAAGAACACATTTTAAATATATCTTAATGTTAACAACATCAGCAAAAATGTCTCCAGCTGGTCGATTCCCTTAGAAAATACCCTCACTATAATCTCCTAGCACCTGTACAGTCACACACATACTTGATGTGGCCCGATCCTGCTGTAGTAAGCTGCTCGTCATCTTCAGGATTGAAAGTAACCTTAAAGACTTCCTGGGAAAAAGCTTTTGTCCTCAGTATGGGCTGTTCCTCTTTCCAGTCCCAGATGGTCAAAGTATAATCAGGGCTGCTACCAACAGAGGCCAGCAGTGTCCCGCTGTAGTTAAAGTCCACGTAAGCATAGCCTAAGTCAGCCCCATCTGAAATGCAAGTGATGAACAGACACAATATTTCTTTCTTTTTCAAAAGGGTATGATTTAAAACACACACACAGGAGAGATGGAAGAGAACAAGAGGGGGAGGGAGGAAGAGAGAGAGGGAGAGAGAGAGAGACCTTCATGATGTGTATTGATGGAAGAATGCCAAGATTTTAAAACACAGACACACAGGAGAGAGAGAGAGACAAAACAAGAGAGAGAAAGACAGAAAGAGGAGAAGGAAAGTGCCTCCTTGATGATGTGTATTGATAGAAGAATGCCGAGAATGCCCTAAATAAATAATTCTAACATCATTCATTACCCTTGGTTTTAGAAAGAATTACATAGTATAGATGGAGGATAAATAAATCATAATCATATTTTACATAAGAAGAACAATTTGAGAAAGTCTTCCATTTTATGTTGTGGGGGAGAGGAGCACAAAAGCATGCTAGCAGCAAGAACTCAATCTATAATTTAAAATCTGCCAATGGGGGTGGTGGGGGGAACAATCACGAAATAAAAGTTGACGACTTCAGGTTTCCAGGTAAGGAGCTAGAAAGTCACGACTCCATCCTAACAAGTGAAAAACTGAACATTCAGACTAAAAACTTGACAACTCTGCTTGGGTCCACAAGAGAGGCAAGGACCCGGGCAAACCGTTCACCTCAAGACTGGAGAGACTGACAGGTGAATACGGGGATACGCGATTCACCAGAGCCAAGACTCAGGGGTAGAAGGAGCCAAAACAGCGGGGGAACCAGTGAACACAGACAATGGGGTGGTGAGGGCCTGGGGTGGGGAGAGGAAGGGAGCGGGCTGGAAGAGGTTAATGAGGGGGAAAGGAGGACCTATATAATACTTTCAACAATAAAAATTAAAACAGACAAACAAAAAACCTGAACTGTAACTGACAAATTGCTGGAAGCTCTGTGTGGACCAGTCTGAGAGTAAAAAACTCCAGGGGGACCCGATCATAAGGTGGCCCTAACAATATTGTGAGCTTTACCTCCAAGAGAGCGCAACCAGACTCCCACAGTAAACACATTAGAATCACCCGGGAATCTTTTTAAAATCCTGATTTCTGGGCCTCATCCTCCGGAAATTCTGTTTCTTTGTTACTAATGTTGTGGCCCCACCCCATAACAAAGAAACAGAATTTCCGAAGGATGAAGCCCAGAAATCAGGATTTTAAAAAGATTCCCAGGTGATTGTAATGTGCAGCCAAGGTTGAGAACCACTGATCTAGAGAAATCCCCTGCGGCTTCCATCAGGGGGAGGGGAAAAGGAGCCTTTGGAAATGCCCGGAGCAGTCTATTCGGAATAAGGCCTGCCCTCAGGAGAAACCAATGAGCAGCGCCTGCAACGCTGAGGTATTGTAGGGGAGGGTGGGGGTAAGGGGAAGAGATCAACCAAAGGACTTGTATGCATGCATATAAGCCAAACCAATGGACACGGACAACTTTGTAATACCTTAACCAATAAAGAAATTTTTTTTTAAAAAAAGGAGTAACTAAAACACAGGCTTGCTCGTATACTGCCCTTTGCTTAATGGGCTTCACGGATGCTGTGCTTTTTACAAATTGAAGGCAAGCTCTCCACCAACAAAATGATTACAACTCACATCACTGCAATATTTGCTTGATTGCAGTGGTATGGGACCAAACCTGCGTTATCTCCAAGGTATGCCTGTCCCCAACTCCAGCCCACTCTAGCCATCCTCTCCCACCTATGGGTGTAGAAAAATACTGAGTAACATTTTAAAGTTCACAGTTCAGAAGAACAGGCTCACTAAAAATTGAGACCTAATCATGAGACTAGAGAATGCTTCCCCTCCCCCTACACCTTACCGCCATGTCTAGAGGCCCACTTAAAGGAGTTCTTTCTGCCGAGTATATCAACCCTGGCTCCCAAGAAAAGAATTACACAGCATATCAAAGCATAGAGCACAGTATGAAGGGACAGAGCAAGCATCGTAACCAGACATAGCATGGATGTTGGAATGATCAGATCAGGAATTCAAAACGACTATGATTAATATGCTAAGGGCTCTAATGGATAATACAGACAACCTGTAAGAACAGACGGTAATGTAAGCAGAGAGATGGAAATCCTAAAATAGAACCAAAGAGAAAAGCTAGAGATCAAAAACACTGTAGCAGAAATAAAGAATGCCTTGATGGGCTTATTAGTAGACTGGACACAGCTGGGGGAAGAATCTCTGCATTAGAGGCTATGTCAACAGAAACTTCCAAAACTGAAAAGCAAAGAGAACAAAGACTGATAACAACAGAACAGAATATCCAAGGGCTGTGGGACAACTACAACGGGTGCAACATATGTGTAATGGGATCACCAGAAAGAGAAGACCGAAAGGAACAGGAGAAATATTTGAAACAATAATGACTGAGAATTTCCCCCAAATTAACACCAGACACAGGACCACGGATCCAGGAAGTTCAGAGAACACCAACCAGGATAAATGTCCCCAAAACTACAGAAAATGAAAGATAAAGAAAAAATATTGAAGAAGCTGGGGCGGGGGGCGGGAAGCTCCTTACTGACAAAAGAACAAAGATAAGAATTAATCCAACTTTTTCTCAGAAACCATGCAAGCAAGGAGAAAGTGGCATAAAATATTTAAAGTGTTGAGACAAGAGAAACACCGACCTAGAATTCTGTAACCTGTGAAATCATCCTGCAGACAGACAAATATAGAGGGAATTTGTTTTCAGTAGACCTGCCTTGCAAGAAATGTTAAGTTCTTTAAAGAGAAGGAAAATAACGTAGGTCAGAAACTAAGATATGCACAGAGAAAGGAAGAGCATCAAAGAAGGAATAAGTGAAGGTAAAATTAAAACATTTTTCTTATTCTTAATTGTTGTAACAGATAACAGTTTGTTCAAAATAATAGTCACAATGTATTTGAGTATGTATGCTTATGTATATAGGTATGCTTATAGATAAGTGAAAAGAATGTAAGCTTATATATAAGTGAAATAAATGGCAGCAATGATATAAGGGACAGAAAGGAGGAATTATGATTATTTTGTTATTATAAGATAATCACACTACCTGTGAAGTGGTATAGTGTTACTTAAGAGTAGACCTGGATTAGTTGTAAATATATATTGTGAACTCTAGGTAACCACTAAAAAAAGTTTTAAAAAGAAGTATAACATGCTAAGAAAGGAGAAAAAATGGAATCATATAAAATGGTCAATTAAAACCACAAAAGGTAGAAAAAGGTGGGAGAAAAAATAGGAACAAAGAACAATGGCAACAAATAGAAAACTAACAAATATATATATTAATCCAACTATATAATCACTTTGAATGCCAGTAGTCTAAATGTACCAATTAAAAGACAGAGTGAATCAAAAAACATGACTCAACTACATATTAAATATAAAGATATATGTAGATTAAAAGTAAATGAATGGAGAAAAATATACCTTGCTAACACTAGTCAAAAGAAAGCAGGAGTAGCTATATTAATTTCAGATAGAGCAGACTTCAAAGTAAGGAAAATTATCAGGGATAAAGAAGGGCATTATATAATGATAAAGGGTTTCAATTTTCCAAGAAGACATAATTCTTAACATGTATGCCCTTAACAACAGAGCATCAAATTATATGAGGCAAAAACAGACAAAAACTTCAAGAAGAAATACATGAATCTACTATGATATTTGGAGACTTCAGTACCCATCTCTCAGAATTAGATCTAACAGGCAATGTCCTACAAACTTCAGGTTTGCCAGCCCCCACAATTGCATAAGCCAATTCCTTTCAATAAAGGGGGGAAACAGTAGATTCCAAGGACTTGGGGGGAAATGGGTTGAGACCATACCTCTCTTCAATCTTCTACTAGTTCTGATTCTCTGGAGGACCCTGACTGATATAATAATGTTACATGTTTTTCAGAATGTTGTTGACCTTGAACACTGGTGTTTTTTTGTTTTGTTTTTAATATATTTTTATTGATTTCAGAGAAGAAGGAAGAGGAAGAGAGAGAGATAGAAACATCAATGATGAGAGAGAATCATTGATTGGCTGCCTCCTGCACGCCCCGCACTGGGGATCGAGCCTGCAACCCGGGCATGTGCCTTTGACTTGCAGGCTGACGCTCTATCCATTGAGCCACACCAGCTAGGGCAAACACCGGCGTTTTAAAGATTCTACTGGACTCACCATGAAGGATTCTGTAGGGCCTCAGAGAAGGATATTCATAGATGATTATCTTTGGGGCAACTCCTTTTTCAGCTACTGCGAAGTGAGTTTTATTAGGGTGAACCTACAAAAAATAAAATCTCACTAAAATAATAAAGCAAAGATTTTCATATAAATAGTCCTATTAATGCAGTATTTAGCAACTGTTATCTTACAATATGTTCATTAGGATCCACTCCAATAGATAGATACTTGATGATGGATATGATTTAACTGAAAACTAGAATACTCCTTTTAAGTTTTACTTTTATTAATAGTCATATTCAACTCCAGAAATTTCTAAGTTGCTTTCAGAAGAGCTGGAACGGTGATTCTAAGTCGTTAAAGTGCACCAGAATCCCAGAGAGGGCTTATGAAAGCACAGATTGCAAGCCCCACCACAGAGTGTCAGATTCAGTAAGTCAGGGCTGCGGCCCGAGAATGTGCAGTTAGATTTCTAACATGCTCCCAAGTGATGTTGACGCTGTAGTCTGAAAACCACTCTTTGGGAACCACTAATCTGGATGAATTGTTTACCCTTCATATAAATCAACCTAAATTTTAGTATAGAAAAATGCATGTTTCCAGTATAGTTTATATCCCAATTTTAAAAATTTTGCCTTGAACAAACTTAATACAAGTTAATGTAAACTTATTAGAAGTGAGAAAGTCACACTATTTTCAAGCCAGACACAGAGGGAAATATATTAACATGCTCTGGATAAATTATTTGGTGCCAGCATTTCAAATGGTAGACGTATAAACTGGATAGAATCATATGTTCATTTCTGTTACTTTTGTTCATTGGTAAGCCAACGTACCAGAAGAGTAAATGGGTAGCCAAAAAATCAAAATAGATTGTTGTAAGAATAAGCTATTTCAAACACATATTGTACTTATAAATTTCTATTTTCAGTTACTGTTATGCAACTCCAGATTATATACCTAAGGACCAGGAGCTTGGTTCTGAGACAGACTGCACTGGAAGTTCTGGTGCCCAAGACAAGGTTGCAGACCATTTCCTTCCCTCCACACATGGCTGATAAGACCTATGATTGGCAGCTTTTCTGCTGGCAAGTTGCCTCTTATTCTTCCAGGCAAGTAAATACCTATCACTTTAAGTTGAAACAAGGCTTGGATTTATAGTATGGACACTCAGTAGAATAAGTATAACGTTGAAAGCAGCTGACATTTATTGAGGGCTTACTACATGCCAGAGCCTGATCTAAGTTTTATATAAGCATTATTTCCCTTAAATTTCACATTAACCTTGTGAGCTGGGATACCATTATCACTCCCATCTTATTGATGAGGAACTGAGGCACAGAGAGGTTAAGGAACTTGCTTGAAGTTATACAGCTGGTAAACATCAGAGACAGAATTGAAGCCAGATGTTGGAGTCAAGAAGTAAATGTACCTAAAAAAGGGTAGATTCCAAGGAGTTAGGAGGATATGGGTTGAGACTATAGCTTTCTAGATATCCTTTTCCAAATAAATATTATGTAGGACTTGTGGCCTCAGAAACCTGGATGGGGATTCAAGCAACTCTTTTATCCTTCTAGGTCTTACTTATAGTAAGCGGAAAAGTTTCTACGCTTTCAGATAGGAAGTTACTGTGGGGTTGAGTTTTGGTGTTTTGCTTCATTTTTAGTGGAGACGCCAGAACTGGTAAGTCATTTATTTACACTCAACATATAGATTCATCCCATCTTTTCTAGAAGATAGCTTATATGCCCCCTAACACATTTCTCCACGTTTCTCATAACCTTATCAAAATATTTTAAAATGAAGTTGAGGCAAGGGAAACAAAGTAAACAAATGAGATTACATCAAAATAAAAAGCTTCTGCACAGCAAAAGAAACCATCAACAAAATGAAAAGGGAGCCCACTGTATGGGAGAACATATTTGCCAATGATACATCCAATAGAGTGTTAATATCCAAAATATGTAAGGAACTCATATAACTTAACAAAAGGAAGATAATCCAATTAAAAACTGGACAAAGGACCTAAATAGACACTTCTCCAAAGTGGACATACATGGCCAAGAGACATGAAAAAATGCTCAAAGTCACTGATCATGAAAGATGCAAATTAAAACAACAATGAGGTATTAAATATGGAACTGCCATTTGACCCAGTGATCCCACTTATAGGAATATATCCTGAGAAACCTGAAACACCAATCAGAAAGAATATATGCATCCCTATGTTCATAGCAGCGCAATTTACAATAGCTAAGATTTGAAAACAGCCCAAGTGGTACCTTTACACCATGGAATACTATGCAGCAGTAAAAACAGAAGGATCTCTTACCCTTTGAGACAGCATGAGTATTATGCTAAGTGAAATAAGCCAGTCAGAGAAGTATCACATGATCTCACTCATATGTGGGATCTAGTGAACAAAATAAACTGATGAACAAAATGGATCTAGAAGCATGGAACAGACTGTCGAATCTCAGAGGGAAGATGGGGATGGGGGGATGGGTGGAAAGAGATTAACCAAAGAATGTGTATGCATGTATGCATAACTCATGGACACGGGTGCGAGCTGGAAGGGGTCAATGGGGAAAAAGGGGGACATCTGTCATACTTTCTACAATAAAGATAAAAACTTTTTTTAATGAAGTTGACCTGGGCAGTGGAGGCAAGGCCCCTGTTCTGTCCTGCACACTCGGAAAACACCCCTGGGGACACAGCTGCTCGAGTCCAGGAGGTGAGGATTACAATTAGAGCATTCTTGACCACACTATCCTCTAACTACTGACCTCCGACCAAATTATTGCATAACAAAACAGAAAGACAGAAATTTCAAAACTATTGTTGGCCATAAAGTGATAGAAATACTAGAATAAGGGATCATTAGATGTTGCTCAGTATTCTGTAGATGGTGTGAATTCAGGCCTCTGACTGACTCCCTCCACAGAACCCAAGACCCTCACATCTGGGCCCATCAATATTTGCACACAGCTGGTGCCACAGTATCATGTACTTGTATACATTTAATTTTTGGAGATTTGCTTTCTAATATGATTTTGTCTCTTTAGATGAATTTTAAATTCTTTGAATTCATACAGGTCATGAACCCTTCTTCATTTAAATCCCTGCATGTTCTGAGTAGTGTTGGACACTGAATGTTATATAATAAACTAGAGGCTTGGTGCACGAATTTGTGCATGGTTGGGGTCCCTCAGCCTGGCCCGTGATCGATGCCTATCAGGGGGGCAGCCGGCAGGGGGGAGGTGTCACAGGAGGTTGTCCAGGCGGGGGGACAGGCTGCGGGAGGTTGGCTGGCCATGGGAGGTTGGCTGTGGGAGCGCACTGACCACCAGGAGGCAGAGCACTTGCATTGATCTCTGCCCCCTGGTGGTCAGTGCTTGTCATAGCGACTGGTCAACCGGTCATTCCAGTTGTTTGGTCCTAATGGTCACTTAGGCTTTTATATATATAGATTTTTGCTGAATTCACTAATTAGTCTTATAACAAATCCCCTGAAGACAGGGACTTTATCTTGTACACATGCTATGTATAGGTGCATGATCAAGTCAGAAACAAATGTAAGATTATCTTTCATGCTTCCATCTCACTGTGTCCTGTTTCCATGGCCAACCTAAGTTCTATCTGTGGGCCTCAGGCTTTCCTCGCCTTCTCCATTCCCACTGCCAACTCCCAGCTTCACTCCTCAGATCAAGAATCTTCACAATAGTTGTCAATGGGAGAGGGGTGGGTGAAAAGGGTGAAGGGATTTACAAGTGCAGATTGGTAGTTACAGAATAGTTACAGGGATGTGAAGTACAGCACAGGGAATGTAGTCAATAATGTTGTAATAACTATGCATGGTGTCAGATGGGTACTAGGTTTATCAGGGTGATCACTTTGTAAGGTATATAAATGTCTAATCACAGGGTTGTACACCTGAAATTAATATGATATTGTACATCAATGGTAATTTAAAAATAAATTTTTTAAAAAAAAAGGATCTTCTAAAGCTCTGCACTCACCCCAACTTGTAATCTCAATGTCCTATTAGGTCTGGTCTACCCCCTGCTAGCCTGGCCCACTCTCAGCCTCCTTGCTGGAAGCCCTCTGCCTCCGCAGGTGCTGTGAAGTGGGCCCTGCCCCTGCCAGTTCCATCTAGTCTACTCACCCCTGGCAGGCAGGGCAAGGGCAGGGCAGACTTGTATTTGGATCACCATCTTTCTAGAAACCCTCTCGTAAAGAATTACTGCTGTATGAGCCCCAAACCTGGCTCCTCCTCCCCGCTGCTCACTGTCTCACACAGCATAATCTGAACAGATGCCCCTCGAAAGAGGCCAAAGACACCAAGGAGCACCCCTCAAGCTGTGTTACTGAGAAGAGCAGATCTAGGAACACCTGCTTCTAAGAAGCACGGAGTAGAAAATAGCCAAGGGACACGTTTCATCAAGGGGCCAACTGCCATAAAGAGGTCACGTAAGAGCTAGTTCGAAAGGTGTTCTCCAGATTCGCCCACCAGAGAGCTGGCGCTCACCGCAGTAAAGGCAGCTTCCGTGAGGTGAGGGCGGAGCAGACAGCAGAAGCTTGGCCTCAAAGAAAAGATCAAAACAAAAGAGGGTAAAGAGACTGCGTGGTAAGAGAGGGGCCCTTTAAAATGAGAACTAGTCCATTTGGAATGCTTTGATGCTGAGGATGAGGAGCCTAAGGAAGCAGCAGCTGATGCTACAAGAAAGAAGGGGACTGACGGGGACAGACAGCTGAGCAGAAAGAAGAGACAGGCTCCCTCCCAATCACACACAGATCCTCTTGTCAGCGGCTGGAAAGTATTGAATGTGTATCTATGCTTCATCTCCAAGTGTTCAATTACATACTTGCATCTATCTGGCATTTATCTCTCTTTGTTATTTGAATTATCATTTGTGTTATTCATTCCACCATTTTTGCAGAATAGCAACAGAGCGTTCAATGTGAAAAGACCTGCGTGATCATGGGGAAGTCACTTAACCTCTGTAAGCCCCAGGTTCCTTATCTGAAAAGTGGGAAGATAATATTACAAATGTAACATTGCAGTATTGCTGAGATCCTGTCAGTGGGTGCTGTGGTTGGAGTCACTGAATCGAGAACGCATTGGAATAAAGACTGCTGTGCATCTCACGTGACCCCACAATGCTGCGCGTGGTGTCGGCACCGCCCCGGCTGGTCCACAGAACAATCAATCAAAGAAGACGGATTTTTTTTCTAAGTTACTAAAGGCGTACCCCAATGACACCAATTCCTGTACCACTAATACTTCGCAGGTACAGCTGTTCCTTGGTTTTCAAATTCAGAATGATCAGCTGGTTCCCGGCGATATACATGACTGTATTGTTGTCCAGCAGCTGTAGGTTGGCCCGCTTTTTGCAGTCATAGCCAAAGGAATGTCTGAAGAGAAAGTGCTAAGGAAAAGAAGTGACACCATATAACCATCCTAGAGACAAGAAAAGTAACATGAAATATACTTTTAAAATCCATGTTCTTGGGTAAAGATTTGGGGTTGGCGTAGTTGAATTTCACTCTGAAACTCAGAATTTGTTTTATTTATTACTAACGCAATTTTGTTCTTAAATTAGGTGGAAAAATCCTCAAACTCTGATTTGGATAATATTTTAAATATCTTAGGGAATTCATGGGAAGCTTGTCAGAGTGCTCATTAAGCCAAAGCCCCTCTGCACGTGATTATAGGTCTAGAAAGTTAACAGAATATAACCGGGAAAAGTTCCCCGTGACTCTCACATGCCATCCCATTTGCAAACATAGGCTAGAAGAAAGCTGAGAGCATAACTTTTGTCAGTAACTTATCCAAAGACAAAACAACAACAACAACACACACACACACACACACACACACACACACACACACACAAAACACCAAAAATCCCAAACAACAAGCACTCAAGAGAGAGAACTCCAGGTTATAAGATTCAAGGTGAAATTCATTTCAGTTACATCTGGGATAGAAACAGAGTTAGAAGCTATAACAACATGTTGTATCTCTATGTAAAAAGCAAACCTGAGTCAGGCGGTACACCACCCTACCTCTGTAAGCACACCTTTCATGAGAGGCCAGTCAGTGGTCTAGGCCAGTGATGGCGAACCTATGACACACGTGTCAGAGGTGACACGCAAACTCATTTTTTTTGGTTGATTTTTCTTTGTTAAATGGCATTTAAATATATAAAATAAATATCAAAAATATAAGTCTTTGTTTTACTATGGTTGCAAATATTAAAAAATTTCTATATGTGACATGGCACCAGAGTTAAGTTAGGGTTTTTCAAAATGCTGACACACCGAGCTCAAAAGGTTCGCCATCACTGGTCTAGGCCATCCATGTGGGCATAACCACTGCCCATTTAAAGGCAGGCCAAGGACCTTCCAGGAAACCATCTCCTAACTATCCACCTTGCAAACCTAACACCATAAGGTGATGGTAAACACTAAACCCCCTTGTCAGTCATCTCCACCCTTACATTTCTTCACAGTCTCTTATGCCCCAGACCAATTAAAACTTGTTCTTTTGTGTCCCACTTTTTCAGGGTTGTCTTCTTGGAAAATTCATCTTCTATATATAAAAAAAACCCTAAAATGCAAATAGACCAAACAGCAGAACAACCGAACAATCAGTCACTCTGACATGCGCTGACCACCAGGGGGCACGCGTGGAACATGGTGGGCATTGGCTGTGGCGGGATGGTGGAGCAGGTGGGGGAGGGGGGGTGCCAGACCAAGGCGGAGCGCCAGTCACTGTCATCAGGGTGAGCCTCTCGTGGTTACTGAAAATTCTTTGCTCCCACGCACCGCGGTCCCACCAGGCGCTCGCACCTGCTGTCAGTGCTGGCCCCGCTTGCACCTGCTGCCAGTGCCAGAGCCACTGCTCATACCACTACCAGTGCTGGCCTGCTCGCACCTGCAACCGGCGCCAGAGCTGCCACTTGCACCCGCTGCCGGTGCCCAGCGCTGGTCCCAATTGCTCAGCACCATCAGTGGGTGTGAGCAGCGGCTGCCGGCCCTGATCGCCCCTGAGGGCTTCTCCACCTGCCCCTGCTCCTGAGGGGCGATCAGGGCAGCAGCCGCTGCTCGCATCCGCTGACGGTGCTGGCCCCACTCCCACCCGCTGCTGGCAATGGCCCCAATCACTCCATGCCGCCATCAGCGGGTGCAAGTGGGGCCGACGCCATCAGCACGTGGGAGCAGTGGCAGGAGCAGGGCAGACAGGGGACTGGGGCAGTAACTTATCAGCTGAGGAGGTGAAAGGGGTGAGAGGCTTTCTGCTCCCCTGCACACCATGTCTCACGGAAGGAAGCTGGTGAAGCATCATTTCTCTTTACAGTTATTTGGTATCAAACAAAAGCTTAGTTTAAATTAAGATCATGCATTTCTAAGTTTCTAAGGGCCAAGCTTCTTAGAAGTACCTAAGATAGGGGTTGGCAAACTTTTCCTTAAAGGGCCAGGTAGTAAATACTTTAGGCTTTGTGGGCCAGATGGGCTCTCCTGTAACTATTTAGTTCTACCCTTACAGTGTGATGGGAGCCATAGACAAAATGTAAATGAATGAATGTGGCTGTGTTCCAATAAAACTTTATTTATGGGAGGCCAGATTTGGTCCATGGGGCTGTAGTTTGCCAACCCCTGGCCTAAGAAGCTGAAATGCCAAATATGCATATGTAACTGGAGTGGATACACAAGTATGATAAGTTCCAGTGGTATGTCCGACTCTGAAGACACAAAAGGCATGGAAACCATCTCCATATAATCGTAAAAGAAGCTCTCTGATATTTTCTTCCTAACGTCCTCCTCTGTCTCTTCTGCAGCTGATCCAGGGGTTTCCATAGACCGAGATTCTAAAAAAATTAAAATATTATAACTAAGAAGAGTGTTTGGTGAAACCTAGCCCACAATCCTCTAGCAGTAAGTACCACGACTGGCCCGAACATAGGCTGCCACCCACCAGAGAACGTGGGAGGAAGAACCCCAATGCCTGTGTGCATTGGGTGAAAGCTGAGCTTGCCTCAAGACTCAGCGGCCTCAAAGAGCAACTCCCAATCAGTTCCAAAGGAGAGCTACTCTCATGGATCTAGGGTGGAGCACTGCTTAGACCACCCCACTCTCCAGAAGACAGGGCGTGAGCGCTCTCCCTGGGAGCCTCAGAAATGGAGAATACAGCCACACAGCCACTAACCCACCGTACTGCATATGTTCCGTGCTTTTCCTTTGACCACCCTCACACATCCTGCAGATTTTTCTATGGATTTACTAGTATGACTGTTCAATTTGGGCAATTTATCTTTAAAACAGTGGCAATTACTGATACAAAACTAATAATACCTCCAGTGGTTTCCTTGTAATAATCTTGAAAGGAACTGGAACTTCCTTCCCAATCTTCCTCTTCTGATTCCTCATACTCTAAATATGATTCTTCGCCGTCAGTGAATGTTTCGTCTGTATCTTCTAAGAGTTTATCTTCTCTTGTAGTGGCTATTAAAAATAATTTGTTTTAATAATTTCTAAATTTTGACTTAAACATTTTCTTATTTTCAAAGTGGCTACTACTTCCAATTTATTTGTGCTCTAAAGTTAATAAATTTTAATACTCAAAACTTTCTAGAAAAATCATTTTATTTGGTCATTCTTGTAACTTTACACACACACAAAAAGAAGCCTTTCCTGTGAGTTAACCTCCATTTTCACTTCATTTGCAGTCTATTTCCTATAACAGCATACTTTTAAGAAATAAAAGATGTTTTTAAAAAGATTGGCTAGTGTGCTATTATTAATTCAATTCATTTTTGCCAATATGTTATTAATATATAGTTGTTTATTAATATATAGTTGTTTCAGAAATTATATATATATATATATCCTCAACTTTTCACAGTTTACTTAGTTAATATTATAACACATAATGTCTTTTTTGTTTCTATATTTATTTTAGAGAGGAAGGAAGAGAGAGAGAGAGAGATGTGAGAGAGACATATTGATCAACTGCCTCCTGCACACGCTCTGAATGGGGATTGAATTCACAACCTGGGTATGTGCCCTGACCAGGAATGGAACCCACCACTTTTGGTATATGGAATGATGTTCTGGCCCACGAAGCCACACTGACCAGGGCTATATACATGTCTTTTATCAATTGACAGAAAACTAGTCAACAACTCAGTAAAGACATATATGATCTGAACAACACTATGAAACATGCTAACCTGATATTTATAAAATACTACACCTACCAATATAAGGTACACATTCAAGTGTACATGGGCTATTCACCAAGACAGACCACTTGCTAAGACATAAGTTTCAATAGATTTAAAAGGATTAAAATAACACAGAATATGTGCATTCTCTGATTATAACAGAAGTTTAAATTATAATAAATTATCTCAAAAAACTACAAATATTTGGAAATTAAATAGCATACTTAAAAATAATTTATGGACCAAGGAGAAATCAGCAAAAAAATTAAAAACTACTTCTAACTAAATAGTAATTAAAATATAACATCAAAATTTGTGGGATGCAGCTAGGGCAGTGCTAAAAGGGAAGTGTATAGCTTTTGGTACATATAAAAAAAGAAAAAAAGTCAAGAATTAGTGACCTAAAGTTCTACTCTAAGAAACTAGAAAAAGAAAAGAAAAAAAAGAATAGAATGAAGGAAATAGTAGAAATAATAAAAATGTGCATAAGAATCAATGAAATAAAAAGCCAAACCATAAAGAAAATTAGCAAAGCCCAAATCTTATTCTTTGAAAAGATCAACAAAATAGATAAACTCCTAGCTAGACCAATCAAGAAATAAAAGAGAAGCAATACAAATCTCCAATATTAGGAATAAAAATAAATCCTAAGAATTATGTCAACAAAGTTTACAATTTAGAAGAAATGTATAAATTCTATAAAAGATACAAACTTATAAAACTTACTAAAGAAATAGGTAGTCCTCTATTTATTACAGAAATTGAATTCATAGTTTAGTATTTTCCCACTAAAAAAAAGTATAGGCCCAGATACATCATTGGTAAAGTCTACCAAACATTTAAGGAAGGAATAATATCAATTCTGCACAAAAATATTTCTAAAAATAGAAGAGACCAAAATACTTCCCAATTTACTAGATGAGGCCAGCAAATAGTTAGTCCTTTAATAAGAATCAGAAATCAATGTCTTAGTAACTAACAGTCCTTCACCCTTAGAAGAAATGCTGAATGGTTTCTGATACATTTTACTTAGATTTCTTAATAGGACTCAGTTACAGCACAAACCCATTGCTGAGTCTGGGGAAGGGTCCACTTTAATCCATGCTTAGGTGGAAAACCAGGAAATTCACTCTGCACAAGAATTCTAAAGAGTAAGAAGTTGCTCAGATATTTCAGCAAGACTGAGAACAAGGCAAGGTCCCCCGGGCAGGGATGCAGGAACCAGCTATAAGGTATGTAGCTGAATCAGGACAGAGACCTCTTCTAACATCACCAGGGTAGAAGGTTCCAGGGTGCCAGCAAATTCTTTCAGATTGTCATTTGGGATCCTACAACCCAGGATGTGTAAACTGTTTTATGAGCTGAGCACAGGGCCAGGTCACACTTGAGAAGGCCTGCCTCTAGGAGGGCCTCACGTAGAAAAGGGAGATGCCGAGGCAATGCTAGACAAAGGCTCGTTGTCCTTCAATCCAGCCGTCCAGAAAAATGCTGCAAAGGACTGGAAACCAAAATGCAGATGATCCTGTCTCAGAAAATGTAGGGAGTGGAGAAAAGTGCAAAATAAAAAACAAGAGAGAAGCAAACTAAAATTTTTGAGGAGAATGAAATAATCTAATTTTCTAGAAAGATAACTCTAGTGGTGGTATGGAGGGAGACTTGAACAGGAAGACTTCAGTGGAAATCCTTGTGGTAAGAATCCAAGCAAGAGGAGATAAACATCTAAAATTAAATATGGTATGGAGAAATCATGAATCTATGAGATATATCTCAGACTGAAATAATTTAATGTAAATTTTGCAAAGGAGTTGATTTCCCCAGGAACATATCTCTTCTAATAGTAAAAAATAATTTCTGAAACTATATTTAGGATTACAATAAAAAATGTCAAAATTCTACTAAGATACCTAACATCATGGGGCTAGTCAGAAAGAGCCAGCCATCTTTTAAAAATCCTATTACAAAATTCCCCTCTTTCTCTTCTATTTGCAGCCTATAATATCCTTCCACATGTTACCCAATTTAATCCTGAAATAGCTCAATTATCATGTTAATGGGTGAGAAAATGGAGGTTTTAAAATTTACCCAAGTTCAAGCATCTCTAAGTGGTAGATCCAGGACTTAAAACTAAAGTCCAGCTCTCGTCGCCCCACACTGTATTAGAAAAGTCCATTAACTTTGGACTTTTAAGCATGGTAGCAACCATGCTTGGGTAAAATTTGCTGTTTAATATTTTAACCCTGCTGACTTGGCTTCTATAATTTATTTGCTTGCTAAAATAATAGAAAAGTTATTTTGATTTTCTGAACTTATATAAGTTATCCCATTCGATTGAATACTCCATTGATTGTGGTTTGAATACCCCCCATTGATAGTGATCTTACTGGTCTTTCGAAACACATTCCTCTGCACCTGGAGACCATGACAGCACAATTACTCTAAATGGCCTCAGTGGCTCCAGATAATGTGTTTTCGTTGACTCAGTGGTCCCAGGACCTGACCAGGACAGCACAATTACTCTAAATTGCCTCAGTGGCTCCAGATAATGTGTTTTCGTTGACTCAGTGGTCCCAAGACCCGAAACTATAAGTAATCTTTGTAACTAACTTGCTCAATCTAAGCTTCTGTAACAAACTGCTTTTTGCAAACCAGGTTCCTCATTCCAAACCTCGAGATGTAATCAATACCTTTGTGATATTTGCCTATATAAGTCTGATGTTTCGGACAAAAGGGCACTATGAGATTTGGAGAGCATTGCCCCTCGTAGTCCTGGCTTTGAAATAAACGTGGCTCCTTAATCCGATCTTGTGTGAGTCACAGGGTACAATACAACAACTTCACAGGAGGGAACAAGATGAGGGGTGCAGACAGGTCATTATCAGCACAGAGTTGTCTGTGTGCCAGGAGTTGGAGATAAAAGGATTAAAACACAGGCTCTGCTCTTCAAGGATTGAGTTGAGGGAGTTCAACAAGTAAACCATTTCTGTTGCATAAATTTAAGTACATACTCTTTAAAATTATTTTAGCTCAGTTTAATAATCAAACACCACGTGAATGTATAACCTTTACTTACATTTTGATAAAGCTTGCGAGGACCCCCGAGACCGAGACCGACTTCCACTGCTCTTTGACCTCTCTGACCTCCCCACCTCAGTATCTTGATCATCGGGCTCCTTCATTTCCTCTGTAAGTGCAACATTGAGACAGGGAGAGGGATCAAGCTGTGAAATAGAAATCATTAGCAGATTTCCTCCCCTAACAAATTCTACAAGCACCAAACACCAAGGGTGTTGATGACAATCTTCTGTGTAGCATCCTAGATGACTTCACCAGCCGGAGGGCACACCACCTTCAGAAACCCCTGCAGAACAGCAAATAGAGGCCGATGCTCCCTTTCTCCAGGCAAGCTTCTCAGCGTGGTGTCCTCTGGTTTTCAAAGGTCTGCAGGCAAACACCACCCAAGTTCATCTTGTCCCTAAATGTTCCACCGTTAAAATGAACCCTCTGCCATCTTCCTTTAGTTCATATCCCCCTCTTCCTCTTCCCATCATTGAATTACCCTGGTGTTACTAATCAATTTCAGTTAAAAAAATATTTGTTGAGGGGCACCATGTGTCAAGTTTTATTTTAGACACTACATTGTAGTACTGAATTAAAGAGAATGACCCCTAACTTTGTGGAACTTGTTGTTTAGAAAGATAGATATTTTAAAAACAATGAAATATAATGAATGTTACAAAAAGGAAAGAATGGGGTGTTGTGGACATATATGGCAAGAAGATTTAACCAGGTCTAGGGATTAAGGAAGAGGTGTTTGCAGCACAGGTGATTAGTAGGAGTTGGCCACGCTTAGATTGGAAAGGAGTATATTAGGCAGAGGGAACTTCAGAGAGAGGGCTGTGTCTGTGAAAAGCAGAAAGTAGTCTATTGGCTAGAGTGGGACAGTGAAAGGGACATTGAAGAGGAGGCAAGTGGCAGATCATGAGATTGTCCCTAAGCTTTGCTAAGGAATTGAGAACTTCTTTCTAAGTTAATTGAAAGCCAATGAAGGATTTTGAGGAGATGGGTGACACAACCGGTTGTTGTCTCTGTCTTCTCTCTATTGCAGCTCTTCGTGTGGAAACACCTTCTATACCTCCCTTCCAAGTCCTTCACTTTTCCACACGATCCAACCCGTTTCCTCAACAGTCTTCAAGGGCATGGCTGGCGAGCAGAATAGAATGGCAGTTCTATTTGGATCGTATTTATTGTTAGATTCAGGTTTGAATCCCAGTTCTGCCATGTAACTAGCTAATTAAACTTTTCATCAATTCCTCAACTGTAAAATGGGAACGAAGAAAAAACTAACTTAGAAGGCTGCTATGAGAATTAATTGAACTTGTGCATTATTATACCTTCCTGGTCATGAAAGAAAGACTAGTATGCCTAAAGCAGATGTGATATGTACCGCCTGGTCAGTGGGGCGTGCAGTATGGCTGCCACCTCCCTTCATCTGGACATTAGGGTTCATTCCAGATGTTTTCCTGCAGTGACATCACAATGATGCTATCTCTTGATTTGGGGGACAATAGCATATTGCCCAAATGGTTTTACTATAAACTATTATCAAGAAAGATATGTCCAAGTTGATACTCATTTTATTAAATTTGTGTTTAATACCTTGGAGCTTTTTTCTGGGTTACCAAGATGTTTTACCCTTTAAAGAGAGAAACAGAGGTTTTTTCTTTTCTCTTTTTGGTTGTTTTTCTCTCCTTCCTTCCTTATTTTCTCTCACTGGATTGCAGAATATATGCCCAAAGTATATAAAAATCAAATGACAGAAAATTTTTAAGTAGCAAGATCGTTTAAACTCCAAATTCTATCATCCAGTACATTTCTTGTTTCTTCAAGTTTGGATACACAGGCTTGCTTTCTGTGTTTATATAAGTCACTGATTTAAAAATAATTAATGATAATTCATTTAAAAAATAGTTGGCATTGCACGGCAATGTCAGTTATTGCAGCTTGGTTACAAATTATCTTGTACTTATTAGGTAAATTTGTTCAGATAGCTACAAGCATACCTAAATGCTGTTTTCTTCCTTGCTTTCAAGGTTCTTCATAATTTAAATCAATTCAATTCCCAAAATTGAGCATATTTATATACAAACTAGAGGCCCAATGCACATAATTCGTGCAAGGGCCTTGGCCCCCTGCCACCGCCACGGCTGCCTCTGCCTCAGCCCCAAATCACCGCCCACCACCACACCCAGGGGGGCCTCTGCTGCCTCTGCCTTGGTCCCTACCCACTACAGCTTTGTCCGGAGGAAGGACATCCAGTCTAATTAGCATATTATGCTTGTATTATTATAGACTAGAGGCCCGGTGCACAAAAATTTGTGCACGGGGGGTGGGGGTGTCCCTCAGCCCAACCTGTGCCCTCTGAAATCTGGGACCCCTCAGGGGATGTCTGACTGCTGGTTTAGGTCTGATCCCTTAAACCGGCAGTTAGACATCCCTCTCACAATCTGGGACTGCTGGCTTCTAACCACTCTGCCTGCCAGCCTGATAGCCCCCTAACCACTCCCCTGATGGCCTGATTGATGCCTAACTGCTCCCCTGCCACATGATCATCCCCAACTGCCCTCCCCTGCTGGCCTGATCACCCCCAACTGCCTTCCCTTGCAGGGTTGAGGGGACTGGGGGACTCCTGCTGGATGAAGCGGGGCTGAGGAGACTGGGTTCCGCCATATTGTGGCTGTGGGTGCAACCATCTTTTGAGGGTGTGATGGTCAATTAGCATATCCCCTCTTTATTAGATAGGATTATAACTTCTGTTTAACTGGCAGACTCTCTCTGGCCTTGCTAAAGCAAGCAGCCATACTGGGGAGACCTATAAGGCAAGAATCTGAGGATGGACTCTGTCCAATAGCCAGCAAGAAACTGAATCTCACACTATAACAGCTCCAGGGAAACTCATTCTTGCCAACAGCCATAGAAGGCCCATCCGGATAATCCATATGCTCTCAGTTTTGCCTATTTGTAGCACTAAAAAGAGCTGAGCAATGGTAGAGTCAGATGAGGGATGGAACATCAAACCCCAGGTAACCAATCAGTTAGGTTTGCCTCAGACTGAGGTGGCCCCAGAACATGACACTTTCAGTTTTAAAACTGCTGCGTGGCTGCCGGCCGCCATCTTGGTTGGGTTAATTTGCATATCGTGCTGATTAGCCAATGGGAGGTGTAGCAAAGGAACGGTCAATTGCCATGTTTGTCTATTATTAGATAGGATGGTATTGTGCTAGGCATGGAAAGATGAGCAATAAACAGGCCCTGACCTTAAATAGTTACAATCTAAGAAGTAGAAATTGACATTTCTCTTTAAATATAGTCTCAGAATCAGCTTCTCTTCTAAATCACTGATTCAGACCCATCCAAGGTTGACCCCTGTGGACAGGGCAGGACAGTCAGAGAGTCATGATTGAACTGGGGACTATAGATAAAGATTTTCTTAATAAAAATTAACATTACTGTGTTGGCAAGAAACTAAACTACTCTTTAAGTTGCCATGATGCAGGCCCCAAGTAAGGAGGAAAGATAGGCAGTGGGCTGGTCAATCAAGCTGAACTAATGATGTATTGTGCAGGTCTAAATTAAAATATTTTGTCTGCAAGTTTCAATAACAATTTAGTCTATAAATATACTTAGGGTTCTATTGCTGTTGTACAAATTTAGCAGCTTAAAATTACACTCGTTCATTATCTCCAAGTTTGGTTGCTTTCTTGCTGGCTGTAGGCCAGGAACTGGTCTAAGCTTCCACAGGCTCATGGTCCCCTAAAGCCAGCAGTGGTAGGTCAAGTACCTATCAGAGATTTAAATCTCGTTTTCTTTATACCTATAGTTCTCAATTCTAGCTGCACCTTAGGATCACTTGAAAAACTTTTTACTCCATTCCATTCTCAGGGTCTTGCTCCCTAAGTAATTATTTTGTGCAACCAAGGATAATAGGGTTAAGGGCCATGAGTTTATAGAAGGCACCTAGTAGATATTTAAAACTGGTAGTTATTTTTACTACAATTACTTCATATTCTCTCTAATACAGCTAGGCCCAATAAATACAATCATGGAAACTTCAGAGCTGAAAAAGATCTTACCTAGTCCAAACTAAACCCTCCACCCCCAATATATAAGTCACACAACTACAACACGGAGCCTGGCACCATTGGAAAAGGAGTTTGGTGTGTTGGTCAGGCTGAGAGTATTGGCTAGAGTCAGACTGACTGGGTTGAAAGTCTGGCTCTCTGTTGGGGTCCAGCCCCAACAGGTCCAGGGGTTCCCAAAGGTGTGGACGGAGTTGGCGAAGGAAGGAAGGACACAGAGACAGCGTTCAGTTGATCAGCATAGCCAGGTTCTC